ACAGGAGACTGAAAGACGGCTGGGAAGGAGTCAGCCTGAGATCCACCATATCAAAGTCTTATGATGGCAAGAATTATTAAATTGTAAAATATTTGGCTGTTTCTCTCTACACGTTCGTTGGGTAATTCATCGACCAGTAAAAATAACCATAAGAAATGGATATGGGAAGAGCCACATGTATTTTTTACACCGTCATCCCGTTCTTTCAAAAGGCGTATCTCACGCTCACGTCCCAGCAGTGTGGCCCGGGTTGGAATCCTGGTGTCGACGATGGGGTTCAGTTTGTTGTTGGTTCTCTCCCTTGCTCCGAGAGGTTTTTCTCCGGGTACTTCGGGTCTCCACTCTCCTTTAAAACCAACACTTCCAAATTCCAATTCGATCTGGAACGCACGGACACGTTTCAACGAGTTCTTAACAACTCCTAGGTGTTCCGTGGAAGCGGGAGATTCCTTCTACCAGATAGAGAGAAGAGAAAGAGATTTAGCCAGTGGATAGTGCTATCCATCGATCGAACAACTGCTGCCTGGTTTTTAAATGCCTTACATTTTTTTTTCGAAGAAACCACGGCCCGGAATCGACCAGAGTTTGGATGTTATGTAAGGGTTATCGGCCTGAAGCGGGGGGTTATGTGATTTATTCCCCTGGTGAATAAATCACATAACCACGAGCTGAAGGCCGATAAACGGCTTTTTACATTGGCGAGGATTCCTCAAGGGATGCAAAAATACATTGACGAAAAATGCCTCTATTGTTCATCTTTCTTTGGTTTTTTAACACTCCATGCTGGCACTGGTGGTATTCACAGGTTTCTCGGCTTTTTAATTATGTTAGTTTTTCAAAGTCGCATTTCAAGTTAGTGGTTCCGTGCGGTGAATGCTAGAAACAGCCTAAAGGGCCTAGCAGTGTCGAGCGATTCAGAGCCAGAAGTAAAGCCGTTTATTACTCAAACTAAAGCAGCTTCATTTGCGGGTGCAGAAAACGAGGAAGCAGTTGACAATTTCAATTTTCGCACCGAGGATCGACCGACCTGCATGTTTACAGACAAAGAAGATTCCGGGCGAGGGTCACTACTGTAGCTGACAAGGAAATTCATGATCAGTCGAGGAATGAAGCAAGAATACCACAAAACACAAAGAGGTCAACTACTTGTCTTCATGGAGTACACGAGTTTGTGATGACTGGTTAAAGAACGGAACACCTTATCATAACAGCGACACTTTCGTGGAACCGTAGAATTTTAAAGACGCTGTTCAATTTCGAACTGTCGTTCTGGCTGTGGAAATCAATGAACCAACAACTAAGAAAATCCGCGAATGTGGCGCAAAAGAAACGCAGCTCAGTTTAATTTTAGTGTTTAATATTTCTAAGAAACATTTGTGAATTTTTTCTTTATGAAAAGCTAATTGAAATGCGAGGGGATTATGTATTAATATGCAAGGGAATAAGTGACTTATCCCCTTGCATATTAATACATAATCCCCTCGCATTTTAATTAGCTGTTCATTAGGCCCGCTCTTCCCTTCAAACAATCAAAGCCGCACACAGCTTTTCAGACAGTTGATTCGGAGGTTATGTAATATATTCCCCACGAAAAGAACAAAGGAATCCGAGTAAAAATAAAGCCCGCAAGTGTCACCAACGCCGGTATATAGTCCCGGTTTATATCTAATTTTTATCTAGGTTTTAAGTTCTGCATCGTAGGATATAGATTTACGATGCATTTTTTCAGTCTGTGTAAAAGGACATAAATTTCTGTTTTTAGACACCCCTTATGTGCCTTGCAACAAAGAATGCAACAGAAGGAGTTTTTCTTAGACACTTCCAGTGGTAATTTTTTTTAGACGTTGTCAAAAGCCATAATAGGACAGTTGTCCTATTATGATCTCTTGACGTTGTCTATAATTATATAAATGGTATATTTAGTGTAAGAAATCGCAATTGACATTTTGACATGTGAGAAAGAAAGCTATAACATTCCTCACTAGACTTCTTTTTAAGTAGTTGAAGAATTTAGTTGTTACATTCAACAATGTCACATCTCCCTTTAATAAAAAGTTGTTACAATTTGCGCTTAAAACTTGCTTCATTTCGCGGTAAAACGTTATTGCATTTTGCTTTTAAAGTTTTTGCATTACGAGTTAATGTTACATTGTGCTTCACATATGTTGTTACATTTCGCGTTAAGGTTACATTTTGCGCCATAAATTAAACCTCGTCACTTCGTACCTCCCCAACTAACTATTAGTCCGAGAAATTGTTCTTTGTATTGATAAATACTTAAAAGTCATGGGAAAATAATAAAAAAAAAGGGGGGGACAAAAATCAGATCAGTTACCAGAGGGTTGGAACTCGCGTCTACCACCAAACCTAACAGCTTCGCAAGCTGAGAACTTTTTAAATATAGAAAATCAAATAGCGGGTAAAACAAAGAGGAAACATCTCTTGAAAAAGAATACTAGCTCGCACAAGGCTGAAAACTAGATTAACTAAAAGAAATATAGAATGGAAAGTACGCGCGCATGGTATTAACACACGAGTTGTTGACGTATCAGAAATTAATGAACGAGTGAGATACAAAAACAAATTCGTGCTTACGTTTTTTTGAATTTTAACTCCCTAAACTTCCCTTTCCTGGGTTTGTGAGTCATTCAGACAGGATATTGGCCAGTTCCATTCTCCACGCGCGGATGAAGCCTTTCCAAATCGGTGGATTATTTTATCAAGGTCAATTTCCATATTGTAGTAGCTATGAACAAGCAAGCAAGGCGACTCCAAACCATTTACCAGATTTCAACTTGGAAAGTTCTTTTATTAATATTAGAAAATATATTTATCATGTAAAATCTGTGGAAACCCGGTGTGGATCCGCGCCTGAGGTAATATAGGATTACCGTATTTATTCCAATAAGCGCCCAACCTCGAATTAGCCCCCACCTCGAATAAGCGCCCATCCTGAAGGCACCAAAAATTTAATAAGCGCCCAGCCTCAAATAAGCTCCCACCCCCACCTGGCCTCCCTCCCCCTCAAACTCAAACTCAAATAAGTCTGAGGGACCTTTCTGGTTCCTCCAACCCAAAAAACACTAAATAAGTACTAATAAGAGACTTGCCCGAAGAGGGAGTTTTCTTCAGAGTATTTTACAGAGACCTTGCTGTGTTACATCTTCGCGTTTTATTATTACCATTTATGGTATTGTTGCAAAATAAACATACTACACTTGCTGAAAATGGTGAAAATTTAATAAGCGCCCAGCCTCGAATAAGCGCCCACTCCCAAGGTCCAAAAATTTAATAAGCGCCCAGGGCGGTTAATCGAATAAATACGGTAGACTATTAGTCTACCGCTTTGTTTTGGGAAAAAAAAAACAATTGCCTGCGGAAAATAAATGAATTTGAGTTAAGTGGCCGGTTTGAATTAGCTTAGCAGAAAAATAGCTCCTATTAATTGAAAGTACAAATCAAGCTTGCTTGTGTTTTTTTCCTCCCTTTCTCCTCTTGTTTTACAAGCTATTTACCGTTCCCTTCAGGGGCAGTGAAATATACAAAGCGATTCCAGTTATCCGACTATTCAGTGTTAAATTTTCCGTGAGAAAAACACTCCTTTATGGACTCGACAAATTTTCTTTTTGAATGACTGCGAAGCAACTCGCGAAGCAAGGATGCTGCAAGCACCTATGGCAGGCCGGAAAATTAGCGCGAAACTCACGAACCGCTGTCGAGGGGAGAGAAGTAATTCTCCTTTGGCTCGTGTGCGCCTTTACGTTTTTACTTCTTTTAACGCAAGCGTACGAATTAGATGTCGAAAGATAAAAGTCAGAGAATTTTTGTTATAAAGGCGCTTCCATCTGAAAAACTCTTAATCCTATCCTAGAATACATTAAATCATAGCTAAGAAGAGATGTCGGATCTCTCGAACAAAAAAAGTGAAGTATTTGTTACTAATTACCAAAATTATGATCTGTGTGAGCGAACCAGTTGCTTACTAAAGCCGATTAGTGTTTAAACACACGCTGATGAAAGAGTCTGAAGAGTCCAGACCCCTTTTCTTATCATAGTACCACTGTGACCGACACCAACTCCTCTGACCTAGAAGAAAAAAGAGAAATCCAAGCGGCCACAAACGCATTTGGTGCGCTACTACCAAAATTAGAAATGTACAATGGGGCTATACTCCTGTCCCTACTCAATGGAACTGAATGCTCGTCAAGAAGCTGACAAGTCCACTATTACACCATCTACTAAATTCTCGGCTTTGATGGCTGGACGCAATACCTGATGTAGAACTGCTCAGGAGAGGTGACCCTGTTACCATGGAAACTCATATCGCCTCATAATCTTTTCTGAGCGTCGCTGGGCAGGACATTTTAACTGAGTCAACAATTCAAGACGTCCAATAGCAGTATTTTATGCTAGTCTGTGTCGGGAATGAGACCACATGACGGCCAGTAACTACGTTTAAAAAATGTGTTCAAAATGACCTATGAAAAAGTCTGAAGTACACATCATCAAAAGAGTAAGCTTTAGATCATTCCAAGTGGCTTCGTCCCGTGAAGGAGTCAATTGCCGCAATTAAAGGGAAGCGACGGAAGAATTATCAAAAGGCAAACGAAAGGAGACTTTGCTCAACAGTCTAGATAAACGTCATATGTGTATATTGCTATCGCCGCTGTCGCTCTGTCGGGTCTGTCACAGCTAACAACTCTGAGAGGACAATCATCATCGGAGACGATTGACTCCCAATACTCTTTGCTGATGTGAATGTTATGGCTGACTTCAGTCGGTAATTACCTGATAATCTTGAATAATGTTTGTAGAAATTAGAAAATTGATCGTCTGTCAAAATGCTTTTTGTCGAATCGACTCTATCAATGTGTCTTGTATGATTTCTTCAGCATGCTATCAGTATCCGTAGGAGCACAAGTTTCCTAAAGCTGAAGTCTAAAATACATTTGTGCCAGTAAAAATGAGGGCTCGCTCAAGGGAGGAACTATTTTTGAGAAATGTCAGTTAACAAACAAGCAATACCGAGAGAGACGATGGCTGCAAGTAATTCTGAACGTTAATTTCATCTTCTTTTGATAGGTTGCGTGTGTGTATTCTGCCCGTTTGGCGTACGTTTTATTTTGTACAAAATTCAAAATTTCTCCGCGTAACAATTTATTGACTTCCAAGTGGTTTGGTCCATCTACACTACTTTTTTTTACCTTTGCGCGATATTTATATTTAGACGTAAGAAACTGAGAATTTTTTACTCATTGTTCAACGTTAATCACTATATTCTCTACGTTTTGAATTTCAAAACAAGTCCATTGTTGTCAAGAAGCTCTTTAAATCCCATCGTTTGCGAAGATCAAATGCAGCTCTGGGAGCAATGTAATGTTTGGTACTTGATGGTGTGAACTTGTTTGGAGAAACAACACAGAAAGGACAGTAGCATTTTTAGTAGCCTTAAAAATGTCTTGATAAGTATCTTTATATCATTGTACATGCAGTACTCTTTCATCATCACTGATCCTACCAGTATGTAGGACGTGTGTCACATATGAAACTAGTAAATACCTCTGTATATTGGCCCTTACAGTTATTGTCTCTGTATCATTATACAGTACTCTGTCATGCATTGCTGATCCAAGCAGTATGTAGGACGTGTGTCACATATGAAACTAGTAAATTGCTTAGTAGCCTTACCATCAGTGTCTCTGTATCATTATACAGTACTCTTTCATCATTGCTGATCCTAGCAGTATGTAGGACGTGTGTCACATATGAAACTAGTAAATTGCTTAGTAGCCTTACCATCAGTGCCTCTGTATCATTATACAGTTCTCTTTCATCATTGCTGATCCTAGCAGTATGTAGGACGTGTGTCACATATGAAACTAGTAAATTGCTTAGTAGCCTTACCATCAGTGCCTCTGTATCATTATACAGTTCTCTTTCATCATTGCTGATCCTAGCAGTATGTAGGACGTGTGTCACATATGAAACTAGTAAATTGCTTAGTAGCCTTACCATCAGTGCCTCTGTATCATTATACAGTTCTCTTTCATCATTGCTGATCCTAGCAGTATGTAGGACGTGTGTCACATATGAAACTAGTAAATTGCTTAGTAGCCTTACCATCAGTGTCTCTGTATCATTATACAGTACTCTTTCATCATTGCTGATCCAAGCAGTATGTAGGACGTGTGTCACATATGAAACTAGTAAATTGCTTAGTAGCCTTACCATCAGTGCCTCTGTATCATTATACAGTTCTCTTTCATCATTGCTGATCCTAGCAGTATGTAGGACGTGTGTCACATATGAACCTAGTAAATGGCTTGGTAGCCTTACCATCAGTGTCTCCGTATCATTATACAGTACTCTTTCATCATTGCCATCCTAGCAGTATGTAGGACGTGTGTCATTTATGAACATAGTAAATGGCTTAGTAGCCTTACCATCAGTGTCTCGGTTATTCCCTATATAGTACTCTTTTATCATTAGCAATCTTAGCAGTATTTAAGACGCGTGTTACGGCTGATCCTGCAATCATGGTGGATAGTGTTGAGACAAATTTGCATTTACAACGTCATTTAACACACGCTACTCAAACGTTTACACTCGACTGAAACTGCACTCGGTTTTCCCCTCCTGGCTCCCTCCCCCGCCCCACCTTCAGCGATGAAAGTGTGCTGCCGAAATTTCTTCCGATTTTCATCTTCGTATTAAAAACTGGTAGATAGACATGTGTGACGCGAGTGATTTGTAATGTTCTTTAACCCATGTAAGTTTGTGTTAGCCTTACGTATGCACTTTAGTAAACCTGTAAACAAAGGGAATAATATTGTATAGATATTAACATGCGAACTTTGGTACTGTTGGTTGGAATCGTGTACTGATTTCTTTGAGGTTTATTTCATGTCATATCGGAAAGTACAGTACTACAGTTTACTGTACCTTCGTACGCTTTTAGTCAAACGTCAGTGTAGTTCACGTTAAATGTGTTACATGCTCTGTCAGTTAAGTGTTGAGTGTTATGGAAATACAGAAATGTTAGCTGACTTCTAAGGGCACCGATTTAGAACAATTTTGTAAGAAACAGTATTTTATGCTATGCTGTTTGTTTTACGTCCTCTCTCTTTGCTAAATGGTGATACATGTGTAAGCAAGTTCCTAACCGCTTTCTTTGGCATGTCCTGGTACGTAATCTCTATATAGTAAAAGCAGCCTTTACATATCTTATTCTTTTCATATACTTCTTTGTATTTATATGAAATTTCATATACTGTTCACTTTCATACGTATCTTCGTCTCCGAGGGGTAATCATCATGCTATAAACGTGTTACGTCACTCTTTCTTTGAAGTGAGTACAGTAGTTGTAAGTGTAGCGTTACCTTGCATATAAAAGCTGTGATGGGTCCCGAACACATAGAAATACAGATAGCTTTAATTTACTGACTTTAAGGAAACTGATTTATAAGGATTGTGTAACTAACAGTATGATGCTTGTGTATATTCTTATTTGCTAAATGGTGATACAAGTGTTTCCAATCAATACTTCAAATTCCTGATACTTTCCTTGGTAAGTCCTGTTGTGCAATGTCTATATAGTTGACGCAGCCTTTATTTTGTTGGCACACTTCATTGTATATTGACTGGTTCCACCTGAATAAGGGATCGTATAACGCTTATTTCATTGCGACGAGATCGACTTGTTTAACACTGCGTGTGTGCATACACAATGGTGATGGTGGCCATAAGCCACCAAGAGTCCACGCTACCAGGACACTACATGCATTTGGTCTATAGCCCTGCTTCCCGGAACGCTACGGTACAATCTTAGAAGCGCGTAGCCCCTACGCAAGCGTTTTTAGGAGAGGGAGGAAATAGGACTTCCCAAAAAACGCCTGCCTGAAAGACTAACAGGCGAAGGCTGCTTTCGATAAATGAGAGGACAATTACGAGATCAATAGAAACAGTTGTTGAGAGATTGAGAGAAATAGTTGTTGTCTATCAGAAAAATGCATAAACTTTTTTTTAAAGTATTTATTCACAACTGCACTGACAAGCCTAACAAAACTGATCACGGGTAGATTTATATGTAGTGTTATTTCTATAACAAGAGTTGTATTATTAAAACAACAAAAACAAAGTAAATAAATGACGTTGATAACTCAAGTACGTTTTAAGCAAAAGAACACCTTTTCCTTGATTGCATTGCCTGATATAAACACGAGAGGGTGTGGGAGAATTCGAGACAGTTATGCAAACCCGAGACAAAGTCGAGGGTTTGCATAAGGGTCTCCCAACCCCCCGAGTGTTTATATCAGTCTATGCAAAAACAGGAAAAAAAGTTTTCTATTGCTTTTTTAAATTAATTTCCCCGAGAAGAAAAGCAAAGCTAATTGTTTAAGGCTCTGATTAAAAGAGAAATATTATATTATTCTTATCAGTCGCGAATGTTGTACACGACGATTTGTACGCGAAATCAGTTCTTGTTTTGCAGAAAAGATACTTTCCAAAAAACTGATTTTTCTCGCTTAAATTGTCAGCTTAAGCGAAAAATTTGACAGAGCAAGTTTCTAAAGATTTTCTAAGTTTCAGCCGACGAGGAAATGGGTAAAGTAAACTTCTCGAGTTTTCAACTCAAGCCCCTTTTCAAATTCGTGCTTGCATGATTAGTGCGCGAAAAGCAAAACACTTTGACGTCACAACTGCGTTTACATACTCTCATGAAAACGCTCCTCTCGGCCAATCAGAACGCGCAAACTAACTTAGTCATTTTATAATTTATTTATTTGTAATCTAAATTTGAAATCTCAAAGTCAAACTCCTTGGTTAAAATATTTATCATAATTTACCTGTAACCACATATAAGAACCTGTATGATCTTACTTGGCTGAACATGTTCTTGTATTTTTGGGTATTAAAGTGGCAAATTTCCTCCAGGATTTTCTAAACCCACCAGGTTCTTAAACGCGGGTTTCACTGTATCTGGGTAGGTGAATATTTAAGAGATCTACCAATCCTTGGGGCTTAGATATTCTTCCATGTTCATTCCCGAGGGCTGTGGTCTCGAGGGATTTATACGAATTAACGATTTATAATTTTATTTAATTGTTATCATCATTATTGTCTTTATTTTTTTCAGTGATAGACACATATGGTAAACAAAGAAGAACTGAAGATCAACTGAGATGGACAAAGGAACAACTGAGAGTGAAAGATGAGCAGCTTAAAATAAACGAGAAGCAACTGCGAGAAAAAGATAAGCTAGTGATGGAGAAAGATAAGCAAGTGAGAGCGAAAGATGAGCAACTTAAAGTAAACGATGAGCAACTGCAAGAGAGAGATGAGCAATTGAGAGTGATAGAAGAGAAACTGAGAGTGAAAGAGGAGCACCTTAAAACAAACGAGAAGCAACTGCACGAAAAAGACAAGCAAGTTGAGGAGAAAGATGAGCTACTGAGGATGACACAAAAGCAACTGAGAGTGGAAAATGAGCAAAAACAGCGTTTACAAAAACAGTTGATCACTTTAGAAGATGATAAAAAGAGAGAAAGCGCTCAATTCCAAGAACAGTTAAATGTGAAGGTGCAAGAACTGACCGACTTACGAAAAGAGTTAAGAGATTGTGAACAAGACAACGTTGTACTCGAAAAAGATCTTTCCACAGCTACAGAAAAATTAACTGAATATGAAAGTCAGTTAAAGGCACGTGACTGGGTCCTTTGCCGAGATGAAGTTCAGTTAAGTGATGAACGTCTGGGGGTGGGGTCGTTTGGACGAGTTGTGAAAGGTAGATATTGTGGGTGTGTGGTGGCTATAAAACAACTTCATCTGCCAACTCTTAATCCGCGACAGCGCCGTTTGTTTCAACGGGAAATGGATATAGCCTCAAGATGCCGTCATCCATGTTTGTTACAGTTCATCGGGGCTACCGAAGACGAGAGTCCCTTGTTTGTTACTGAAATCATGGAGACAAGTTTACAAAACTTGCTACAAAAGCGGAAGCAAAAGAATCATCACCTCACCGAGACTGATATCATTTTTATATCTTTGGATGTTGCTCGAGCCCTAAACTACCTTCATCAACGAAAACCTGAACCAATTGTACATCGTGATGTGAGTAGCGCGAATGTTTTGCTGTGGAAACAGAATAATCAGTGGAGAGGCAAACTGGGGGATTATGGAACTGCTAAATTTCTTCAAGAAACTATGACAGTTGCTCCTGGAGCTATGATTTACGCCGCGCCTGAAATAGGTTGTCCTTTCAAGCAAACTGTGAAGGTAAGTCTATTATATGGAATCAGTTTGTAAAGTAAAGGTTAATGACTTTCCTTAAATCCAGTGTAGATTGAGCAATTGTCTCAATATGAACAACACTAATATCTATTCCAACCTCTCATGTAGTTATTATAGCTGTAAAGGAATGTTGTCTTTCATACTGCTGTCACCACTGACGCCAGACTTTTTAATTTTAAGGAGCTATTTCGGGAGGGTTGTGAAAATGTACATTTTGTTTTGCTTCCATTATTTTTTGCGTCCTATTTTTCTGTGAAATTATTTAATGCAGTGTTTATTCGTTATTTTAGTTATCCAAGCAAAAACGAGATATAATACCTTTTCAGGATCCCGATATTGTAATTTAGCAGCTTTTGCCTCTATAACGGATCCTTCAGGCAAAATAAACTTCACTGTAACTGTTCGTGGTGAAGTATTGGCTATGGTAAAGCATATTTCAAGGCCATCAACTGGCCTACATTAGAGAGATTTAGGGTGAAAGCATATGGCAAAAGCAGACGTAAGATTCAAGTTGCGAATTTCTCAAAATAGAAAACAAGCAGACAAAAATAGTCCAAAACAATTTTTATAGATAAACTTAATGTGAAACTACTAATTTTTGTGTAGAAGAAATGAACAACAGAAGACAAGTAAATTGAAAGCTTGGTTACGTGTTGGTGTTACATTTCGTGCTTTCCGTTTGCCGTAAACGTGACTATAAGAGATCTTAAGATTGAGGTTTTTCGGTTGTTCCCGCTAACTGCGAACGTCGAAATCATGTGACTAGTACCTTGCCGTCAGGTTGGCGATTGAGGTTGTCGTTTGTACGGCTGGACCACACTCTAGGGGATTTACCACAAGCTTTTTTGCACCCTAACGCATCACAATCCCACGTTTGAGAGGTATACTACATTTTAGAACTCTTTTGCTCATTAATTATCGAATTCTTTTTCATCTGAACGTAATTTTGGAGACGATCTCTCAGCTAAAATTGCAGTCCATGAATTAATCAAATAAAGAAAACGAACATTGCAGCCGCCAGCTACCACCCGCTAATCTTAAGACAGAAATATGAGTAGACGGCTAACGTGAAACCGCTAACCGCGGCTTGCCCTGTTTGCGGTAAGATAGCCAAACCTCGATGTTAATGTCTCTGTTGTTAGGTTCCCACCCTCAACAGAGAGATTGGGCATATGAACGTTTCATGACCTTTTGTAGCGTAATAGGAACAGGTAGCAAGTAAAAACGAAGATGGACTTTAATTCAGGTAATTTGTTTTGTTGTCTTAGATTGATGTTTACAGTTTTGGAATTCTCTTCTGTGAAATGTGCACCGGGGAACTGCCAGAACCTGAAAAGCGGGAGGAACAAGCGAGACTGGTACCTAACAAGAAGTTTGGAGATCTGATATTGTGGTGTATTGAAGAAGATCCTGAAATGAGACCCAGCATGGAAGAGATTATTGAGAAGCTGGAGCAGTTAAATAACAATTCTTAATGGTGACTGCTGACAATAGTTATGGAAGAACGACATAGCAGTTGGAATTTCAAGGCAGAGAACTCGGTACACGCTAACATTATGACGCTTCCATCACCGTATTACTTTATAACAACTTATGACAGATACAGTATGGTCAAGGTATCAACCAAAAATGGTTAAAGCAACACTTATTACAGTAGGGACCTTGCGATGTGAGTCCGGCGACACCAGTGTAAACGTCACTGGAAAACTTCGCGTCCAGCTTTTAAAATTTTCGGATTACTCCAACTAGTTCAGTGTTTTAATAAGATACAATAAAATTAAATTGGTCGTCTTGTCGTTCACGTTCTCAAGAAAACTTTAAATTTGGCCATTTCACGACGTAGTTGTGTAGGGACCTCAAAGAAATTGACAGAAAAGCTTATGCAGATGCATACATAGTAGCTGTTTAATCTTTGCCCCGTCGCTGTCGTCGTAGCTTTGTAAGGTTCCCATTACTTCATAAGTTCGGAATAGCTTGATTAATACTTGTTATACCAGCCGCATATTTTCCCTGTGCAGACAAGTCTGAGAAAACAGAGGAATTTGCTACGCCACTACTAGTTTCCTCGCGAAATGACAACTGAGGAACGAGCGCAGTAATACGCACGTCAACCGGAAGTGGACTTTTTGCACTCTTCGGCCGTGATTTTGAACAAACCTTTGGGCAAATCGTCTCTGTAAGAGTAAAGCCACTTAGCCATACAAATATGGTGGCGTTAAGGCATTTAAAGAGAAAAAACGCTCACTTCCGGTTGACGTGCGTTGCTCAAAAACGTTGCTGCTTAAGCTGTCCAATGTCATACTGCTGACGTTTCACTACCCAGATCTGGGTAATAATTCTGATTGGTCGTGCCGCGAGGGAAATTCGCTTCAACCCATCAGAAGCACTGCTCGGAAATGGGTGGTGACATCATCAGTGTGGAGTTTCTTCGATGGTTCCTCAGACGTCATTTCGCGGGGAAACCAGTGGTGGCGTCGCGAAATGTTGGCTGTTTTTTCAGGTTCTCTACGGATCTACACTGTACCTGATATTTATGGTTTAAAATACAATTTACATGTTACTTAAAGTATTTGTTGTTAAGAATACAGTTTACAGAGTAGTTGTTGATTGAGGTATTTTTAGTGTAAAGATAATTGAAGTTAAAGTGCCCGTAATGAATTTTTTATTCTCTCATCCGAATTTACACATCAAGGAGTGATGTTCCCCTAAGACATTTGTTGATTCCGACGAAACCCGATTTTTTTAATGATTTTTTAAGTCCTTGTAATCTGCCGCCATTTTGTTCCACCATTCGCATTAGTCCCCTAACGGTCGGACCGGAGCAGTGACGTAGTCGTGACTTATTTTTAGGAACACAAATGAAAACTGGTCTATTTTTTGGTCTATTCGCCATTTGCACATCTCCCATAATACACCTTGTTTGACCCCTAAAATTTACACAAGCATTGTCTCCAATTTCTCTTGGGGCGACTGCAATACCCAGAAATTTAAAATAAAAGTTACGCTTTTGGGGGGGGAGGAGGGGGGGGAGGGGGGGGGGGAACTCTTAATAGTCTTTAGGTACTGAAGTTGAGAATTAAATTTGTATATTAGTTAGGTATTTGTAGTTATGAAAAAAAGTTCCGTATTGTAATACAGTAAATATTTCTCAAATAAGAACACAATTTACATAGAAATTAAATTTGTTACAATGATTAAAGTATAGATAGTACTTACAAAGTAGTTAAGCATTTGTATACATCAAAGAATTGTGTAATGTTTGTTTAAGATATTTTTTGGATTTACGTACAACTGTAGATAGATCGGTTTTTATTTATGTGTGAAGTGTCTGATAAAGCATTCATAGTTTTAAAAATTACGCTTTTCAAAGAAAATTAGTTTTAATGAAGTGTTGTAAAACGAAATGCAAATAGTTACTCCGGGTAATCACAATTGACGCGGACAATTTATTGAAGAAATGAGACCCGGAAATACAATACATAGCTGCTGCTCAGTCATACGCGGGAAAATATGAACGAAGGAACGAATGGTATCCACTTTTTTCTGATTGGTCGAGTGCTGGGCATTTTTGAACCTATTACAAAACGAACTTGTTCAAGGAAACAGATAGGCGTTAACTGAAAAGTGCTCTGAGTCGTAGCGTCTAAAACGTTTTTTATTTTTGCAATATATTTTCATAAGTATAGAGAGCATAGTTTGTTATAAGAACTGATTACGTAATTTTATATTTTACCGTCAACATGTGTAGTTAACTTTTACGGTATGTAGCAGATATGACACATCAGTGTAAAACATGATTTTGCTGATAATATAACAGAATGGATATACATTTTTAAAACTATTTTTTTTATTATCTAACGTCCATTATGCTTTTTTAACATATTTTACATAACTGGCAACAGTCGAACCGCCCGTAAGCGAGCACATTGAATGCATGTCTAGTTGACGATAATCGATCTCAGCGAGCCGACCCACCCTCCCAACCCCCCAGGCATGACGCGGTACGATGTCTTCAATACAGTGAATGTACCGCTCCCCACACCTCTTGATAGCGTTTGGAAAGCGACCATTTCCAGACAGATTTTTTTGGTCCACACATTGACCTTTTTTTTTTTCAAAAATAACTCAATTGACAACAAACAATGGGTCCACGCTGCCTCGGGTACGTGACTCTCCTATGAATGTAAGGTACGCGCTCGTCGGTAAATTAGAATTAGACTTCCAAGAGATCACCTATGTCCAGGATCGATCTTGTTAGCAAAAGTTTGCTAACAAGTTTTTTTTCGCAATTTTAGCAAAAAAGATGTAAAGACAACTGATATCAAAAAAGTATAGAAGAAATAGCAAATTTCGCAAATAAAGTAACAAGAATTTTTCTTGCTATATGAAAAATCGCAAAAGTGGAAAAGTTCATGAAGGGCTTCGTGAAGTCCGCAAATTTGGTAGAATCCCAAAGGTAACAAGAACTTTTCTTGCTATGTTACAAAAGATTGAGCAACAAATATGGCAAAAATAGCAAGAACAACAAATTAAACAAAATTCTACACTTTCTGGACATATGTCTATCCGAAGATAACATTCTATTGCCTATGACAGTGTCATTGCATTAATCGTGGATTTAATTGTACACCCCTAGATTATGAAATGCAGCAGTCCAACGACCCCTATTGGAATACCACTTGAAGGGCTTTTCCCCAATGTCCCGTACAGCTTTCTCAATTCTGATTGGATTGGTGCAAGAAATAACAGTGACCACTACTACAAGGACCCTCGCTTTAATATTGCATAGTTTTAGTTTTGGCAAGCCTTATCATCAATCGCTACGCAGACCTGTCACTTCGCAAGCTAAGAACAAACTACAGTGAAGGTAACTCCATTCCGCATGCACACTTAAAATTAAAGTGTAACATTACTCCAAAAAAAAAAGTGTAAAATCTTTGCCAGCCCCGGCAGCCTTTTTTTTCTGTGTATTATTACACATTTTATAATAGTGTAATTTAACATACAACTAGAGGTTATGTTTACACACCAATCAGTGTAATGTGAGTGGTTTGCACTTTGGTCAAGTGTAAAATTGCAGTTCTTGTAAGTGTAATAAAATACTAATAGAACAGTAATATTACACCAAATGATAGTGTAGTAGCTTTGCCAGCCCCGGCAGCCTTTTTTTTGTGTGTATTATTACACATTGTCCAATAGTGTAATTTGACACGCAACCAGAGGGTTCATTTACACACCAAACAGTGTAACTGTGAATGGTTTACACCTTGGTCAAGTGTAAAATTGCACTTCCCATAGGGGTAATAAAACATTAACAGAAAAGTAATATTACAGTATTATTATAGTATTAGGCAAAAAAATTACGCATTTGAAAAATATAGGAAATCACATTTTTAATCACTGAATAAGCAGCTAGACTTCTAACAATAAGTAAAAATGAAAGGTCAAGTGTGCAAGCCATGGTGTGTACTATCTAACTGCTTAGGAGTGATGCGTACTGTCCTATCACAAATCAGTGCTTAGGGCAGAGCCGGACGAGGTTCAAGGTTTGAGCTGCAAGGTGGTACCCGGCAAAGATAGTTAGCAGGACGTCTTCCTCTCCAATTATTAGTATTTTTACAGTCATGGTGTAATGCCTTTCCCACAGTAAAAATGGATGGCGGTGCATCTTTTTTGCTTCTTCTAGATATTGTCCTCTTGTGGCTGCAGCCTGCGTGACAAATGAAATTGAAAAAAAAAAAAACAAGACTTCTTTTAGTCGATATTAAAGTGTTATTAATTTATTGTATCGGTCATGAGGGTTGAAAATAGGACCGAGTGTTTTAGAGTTCCTTCTAACTGAACTAACACAATAATGCTCTCTTGACCAACATGGTTACAAAATAATCACATATTATTATCACTTTGTCGAGCATTGTGGCGCATTTTTCGGGCTAAAATGGAGAATTTGGCGGGCTAAAATGTATTTTAGCCCGCTGAAATAAACCAATGAAAAGTGAAAATCAAACAGTCGTACGATTTAAGCAGCCAATCAAAATCGAGAAGCCATAGAATGTTCGCGCCGTCGCGTCTTGCTGCGTTGGTAGGGACTTTAAGAACCGACAACGCGGTGGTCTGGAAAACGCGAGGACCGAGAGTGGGGCTGGGGCGAGCACCGCGTACTAAGCACGGGAAATATGTAGTTAAGATTAAGAACGCGATCATTTAGACTAGTCATTGTCTGGAAAACAGTAAAACGCTTTTCACCTTTCCCTACAAGAATGACTCAAAACTCATTTAAGACTTTACAGGAAGCTTTGTTCCTTAGTCTGGAAGAAAAGCTAATAGATGACGAAGAATTTGCCCTGCTGTATGAAGAATTCACTCCACAAAACCTTCCGTTTCGCCACTGGGATTACGCAAAATTTTCCCTCGAAAACAAGGACCCCGCAGAGTGTAAGGCAGACTTCAGATTTGAAAAGAGTGACATCTCATTGCTGGTGGATGTTTTACAGATGCCTGATACCTTCACATGTCCGAATGGTACCGTTTGTGATTCAACAGAAGGACTTTGTGTTATACTAAAGCGCTTTAGCTATCCATGTAGGTTGTCTGATATGATTTCTGCTTTTGGTCGATCAGTGCCCGAGCTCAGCATGATTAGCAATGAAGTCACTGAATGGATGTATAATGTTCATGGCCATAGGATTACTGAATGGAATCATTTCATTATGTCTCCTAACCTACTGCAAACTTATTCTGAAGCAATTCATGACAAAGGTGCCGCCTTGGAAAACTGTTTCGGTTTTGTTGATGGAACGGTTCGTCCCATATCAAAACCAGGAGTCAATCAGAGAGCTGTTTACAATGGCCACAAGCGCGTTCACGCCCTTAAATTTCAATCCCTGGTCTCTCAAATCAGAGGTATTTTCAGTAGCCCCCACTTTCAATTGTTATTAGAGGAAATGGTTGTCCCGTCACCACAGACAAATAGTTCATAAATTCTGACTTATAGGCCATAAGTACCTGGACTGTAAGAATAATAGCCAGCCAATCCTATGTTGTTTTTGGCCTACTATTACTAAGCTAATCAATGGTCTATATAGGTAACAGTTTGTCAGCCAGCCAATGTGTGACTGATTGTAGTTCAAAAATTAATTTTTTGGCTCTTGTTCAGAGGGACGAATGCATGATGCGAGAATGCTGGACACATCTGGCCTCTATGTTGACCTGGCACAGTTCGCCTTTTCCCCTGCTGGACAGGAGATGTGTATCTACGGGGATCCGGCATATCCTCTACGTACTCATCTGCAGTGCCCCTTCAGAAATGGGGTGTTAACAAGACAAATGGAAGAGTTTAATGCATCTATGAGTTCTGTACGTACAAGTGTGGAATGGTTGTTTGGAGACCTTATAAATTATTTCAAGTTTCTCGATTACAAAAAGAATCTCAAAATTGGCCTTAGCCATGTAGGAAAAATGTACATTGTTTGTGCACTTTTGCGGAATGCTTTAACATGTCTTTACCGCAATACGACTGCTGACTACTTTGGCCTTGACCCACCATCACTAGTCGAGTACTTTAGCTAAAATGCTTTAAAAGAAAAACACCTGTCAATGCCTAAGTTTACATAAAATCTTGCATAAAATCCTGATTGAACAGTTGTTGTGTGTTATTTGCAGGGAATGTATCAACAAGCAGATCTAAACAAAGGGGTGGCAAATGATACTCTGAGTTCAACATTTTGTAAAAATGTAAATCTTAAATATATAAACATCTAGAAATAGAAATTTAACATCTACTTGTTAAGCATTTTACTCATGACGCCCATGACCTGCTGCATCATGAGCATTTGTTGCTGCTGGAACTGTTGCTGTTGTTGCTGAAACTGCTGCTGTTGCTGTTGATTTTGCAGTTGTTGCTGGTGCATTAGCTTCAGCATATCAGCCTGTTGTTGTTGGACTTTAAGTTGTTGTTCCTGTCTTCCCTTTTCCAGCTCAAGTTCCTTTTCTCTAATTTCTGCACTCTGCTGTGCTCTTTCCTTTAGAAACTCCATGGCATCTCCAGTTTTTCTTCTTGTTCGTTTTGGTTTGTCCTCACCCTCTTCGGCTTCCTCTGACACCCTTTTTTTGGTTTGGGAAAGCCTTTCCATAGCTTTCATTCTTACATCTTCTGCTTTAGCTTGGTCAGCTTTATCCTTACTACAGGTATCTGTGGGAGCACTCTCTTCAAGTGCAATAATTTGCTGTATTAGCTCATCTAATTCACTTGGCTCATCTGGGGATATTCCTGATGCTCTTTCTTCAGCTCTAATTTTTTTCTTGTACTTGTTTACCAAGACATTGATGTGGTCCCGGATGGCTCTGTGGTCAACATTAAATTGCGGAGAAGCACATTTGTTTGGAACATCTACAATTTTCTTCCAAGTTTCACTGCGCTGGGGAGACCCCTTTTTGTATAAGTAGGGATTTTCAAACACTACTTCTCTGCACAGTATAATATTGTGCTGTTCAGTCCAGTACATAACATTGCTGTGTGAAAACAAAAACAAAGAGAATATTAAAATAAAATTCACTCCAAAAAAACCCGTTCTTATGAATTGAAACTAAATGCTGTTGTTAATCTCACAGCTAATTTTATGCTTGTTCAAAAAAGTGAGATTTTTCTTCAATGACGTTTAAAGCTCACAAATTAAAAAAGCGGCCTTGCTGAGGGAAAGAGACCTCACCCATTACTTACACTTTCAGGAATAACAGCAGTGGAATAATGCATTCAAAGCCTAACGTTGATAATTTAAAAGATTCACATTATCAAAACTTCATATGAGATAGGCAATATCATCTAACTTCAAATACCATCTCTCTTTAGTTCTAATTTAGGTTTGTTTTCACTTCAGAGTATTATCTAAAACATGGCTCATTAGTAACAATTTCAAAGAAATAAAAAAATGGAAATAACACAATAGCAGAAATGTCAAAGTCTTAGCTTTTGAAATGCTACGCTTTATGCCAGTAGTCAAGGTAATGAACTTATGTTTCCTCTTATAGTGGGCGATTTTTGAAAGTTAGCTTTAATAAGCTTTCTTTAGTAGAGTTTTAATCACACTCAATATCAGGAAATGCAATTTCAGATCATCATGAATTATCAAGCCTAGTAGTGGATAAGGCACCTGTTACTCCTTTTCTTTGTGGATTTAATTAACTTTTTGAGTGGTATAAATTAACGCAGATGACGTCATGCATCTCATTAAGATAGGATGATGTCATACTTTAAATTAATGCCGATGACGTCATGCATTCCATTAAGATAGGATGATGTCATAGTTTATTTTTAGCTGGCAAGGAGCAAGTGACGTCAGAATAACTATTTTCAGATGGATTATGTCATAGTTTATTTTCAGTAGGCAAGGAGCAAGTGACGTCAGAATTTTCTGGAGTTGACGTCATCAAAAAATGTTGAGATCATAATCTATAAACAGAAAAGTGATTTTTATATAATTAGCTTTTTGCGATAGTTTTCTTATTGGATATTGTGGAAACTGTTATGTGTTCAAAATAAAAGCGGGCAAATTTTTTGAACGTGTTATCTTTGCAGATTATACTAAATTAAAAATCTTTAATCATTAAATTATTTTCCCTAAAAATCGGTTATAAGCAAAACCAAGACGCGGAGGTTAACTGAAAAATCTTTACTTCAAAAGAAGGGAAAAGGAGGTTAAGCGAATGCGAAATCGTACTAATTTTTCACGCAAAACATGAAAACGAGGTCGAAGCTCAGCGAAGCGAAAAACTGCCTATCAAGCAAAAATGTCAATCTTTGTTTACTTGACTCTGTGAAAAGTATTGCACAGGGTATAAAAATTCTATAGAAAACAACAGGTGGTTCTAAAGTAAACCCTAGCTCCTTTGGTTCTTAAATCAACTCCATTTTTGTTCCTAATGAGTGGAAAGTTTATTTATAAAAATAGGAATAAGAGATGCGATCCCCTAGCAACACATGTCTTCTTATTTAGCGCTAAAAATCGGATATATAACAAAACACATACACACATACAAAAAGTGGAGCTGAAAACTCTCTATTTCAATTTTGACTCACCATTACGAAAGCGTTTTATCCGTTCCATCTCGAGGAAACGACTAACTATTGAAATCTCAGCGCTTGATGAGCTTGTGGTTTTGTCAATTTACGCGCCGTTAGTGTTAGTCAGTTAATTATGCGGGCTAACAAGCCTAAAGTTCAATACAAATTAGTTCATCTCTACAGCTAGACCCAAGGGAGCACCTTGACTTATTATTGTAAAAGCACAAACAATTGATAACTTAACAAGGATCAATTTAAACACGCGACAAATAAATTGACAAGACACGAGATACAGTTTTAAAAACTTTATTGAAAACCAGTGACAAAAAGAGTCAAATAAACAGCGATTTGGAAGGGATGGAAATTAGACCTCTTCTTCGTTCTCCTCTTTAGAAGGTGAATAAAAATTGGTTTCCAACGTCTTGGCGTTTTTGTGTGTAATTAATCCACAATCGTGACACCGAAGAAAGCCCTCTTTGATGTATTTTCTCTCCTCGGGGATCTGGTGATCGCATATAGGACAAATCTTGTAGTTATCGTGCCAAAAGCATTTAGGACATTTCATGATCAATGTGGAGTACACATTAGAGTTTTCGCAATGTTCACAGGGACTTTTAGAGTGAAAGGTGGTGGACGTTTCAGGGCTACTACTTTCTGCTTCCTCACTATCGTTTTCAGTGTCGTTGTCGCTCTCTTGGGTGCCTTCAGTTTCAACGCCATTCTCAGAAGCCACTTCCTCCTCCTCCTCCTGATTTTCAATATCCGATGAACTCTCCTCATTATTACTCTCATTATCGGAAGTATTTTCTACATTTCGGTAGCCTTTTTCCTTTTCTATTAAATCACTTAACAACTTTTTGTTTTTGATTAAACCTTTATCGATTCCTAACTCTGCAAGTCCATCTAGAAACGTATTTAGCGCACGAGGCTTGGTAACCTCATTGTTATGAGGGAGTAACACATACTCAACTAGCTCGGCGATGTTTGTGACGGGAATAGTGCGTTTATTTCGAAGTAATTGTCCGCTGGGAGTCCAGAAAAGAATATCTTTGGAGGCGGCCATACTATGCAGCAAATCAGAAGCACGCTTTTCCGACACTGCTCGGGAAAGATGACTCAAAACATCTTTTATTCTTGGTTCTTCTTTTATTCTTGGTTCTTCATCCTCGCTTTCATCACCAGAACTTTCACTTTCTTCATGTTCACTCTCGTGTTCTTCTTCAACGAAATCTATCTTTCTCTTCATTTTGATGAGTACCCGTGACAGACCGTTGCTTCAAATGAGTAACTTATAGTTTCGTTTCCTCTTTTATAGCATCAAAAATCCTAGGCTTGTAACAGCAGGTACCAATAGGTCTTGAATAAAACCATCATCCTCTTGTACAAGGATTCGCTTCTTTGTTTTGTAAGGTACATTTGTTTCTGCTAGGTCAATACTAGAGCATCCTTATATGGCAGCACGCACGTTCCGCTTATTTTCTTCGGCGATAAGAATGTATTCCTTAAGTATATTGTATAAGACTTGGACTAATGCATGTAATTGTTTTGGACTGGCTGTCCGTAAAAGAAACGGTCGCTGATGAGCTGGACAAACAGCTAAGAATTGAAGAAAACCACGATTGTTCTTGACAAATTGAGACATTGCGACAAACTGAACTTATGATAGTAGTTTGCAGTCTTTTATTGACTGTCGTGGAGAAAAACAATGGAAATGTGATGGCGGTGGTGGTGGTGGAGGGAAAACAATAGAATGAGGAGGAGGAGGAGGAGGTGGAAAAGCAATAGAAATGAGGAGGAGGAGGAAAAACAATATAAATGTGGTGGCGGTGGCGGAGGGTAAACAATAGAAATGTGGTGGCGGTGGTGGTGGTGGTGGAGGGAAAACAATAGAAATGTGGTGGCGGTGGTGGTGGGGGTGGTGGGGGCGGTGGAGGGAAAACAATAAGAAAGTGGTGGTGGTGGTGGTGGCGGTGGTGGGGGTGGTGGAGGGAAAACAATAGGAAAGTGGTGGTGGTGGAGGAAAACTATTGAATAGTATAGCCTTCAAAACTATATCAATGCGCATTATGCTAGCATTTTCTCAGTCTACATTCTGCTCCTGAGGAGCTGACATGAGTTGGTTCTGTTCCGTTTGCGAAAAATCCTTTAGTAGAAAGGATAGCATGCAAAGGCACGTGATGTCTAAACACCGCAATGCTGGTCTCACACCATTTCAAACAGTTCCAATATTTTCACAGAAATGTCAGCGGTTTCGCTTCGAGCACCCTTTCACCTCCATGATTGCCGGAATGACCGGGTCGGGAAAAACGGCCTGGGTTCGATCGCTATTGCAACAAGCTTCAGAGACAATTTACCCACCCCCGGAAAGGCTCGTTTGGTGTTATTCACAATGGCAGCCTGCGTATACACAAATGTTAATCGCCATGCCAAACATTGAATTCGTCAAGGGAATTCCTAGGGCTTTGGAGCAGGATTCCTATTTTGACGTGAACAAACGGAATTTGATCGT